TTTTTGGTTTGTTTCATTTTTTAAAATTAAAATCATATACTTATATATGTAAAGTATTAAATATTATATATATGATATTAAATTGCAATAAATGTTTCTTCCATTCTTATTTTAAAGTTGTACATTAAAACATATTTTCTGTTTATACTTTAATTTAATGTTTAACTAGAGGGGTTACCCGCGCGTTGCACGGGACAGAATGTGTTTGTTTTCTGAGACAAATAAGGAAGTACGTTGCATAAATTGGTATCCAAATTAAAGTATGTTGCTATTCTGTGTAATTTGCCATCAATCGGATGGTGGAAATGTAAGCAGAAATTGATTACTTAATTGGTCATTGTGGAAGAATTATTTTATATAATGGTTACTTTTGATAAAAAGATTACAGAGTTGGTTCCTATGATACAAAAACATTACCAAAATGGTACGTTTGTAGAAAAATATTACAAAAATGGTTTGTTTACATAAAAATATTACAGAAATAGTCCATGTACACAAAAATACCACAAAAATGACAACTGTGGTAGAGAAACATTACCGAATTTCTCTCTGTGGCATAAAAACATTACAAAATGGTCTTTGCTGCAGAAAATGTTTACATAATTGGTCCTTCTGTAGAAAAACATTACAAAATTGGTCCATGTACTAGAAAAGATTAGAGAATTATATTTTTATATCTTGTACTTAGCTCATTATTGGACTAAATGTAATAAATAGGTCTATGATATACATTGCAAATTTACCTTTTTGCCATTTTGCAAAACTAAATACTTACAAAAACTTATCAACAAAAATGATTACTGTTAGAATCAAATCCCTGCAACACATTTTGCTAATCCTATATAACCTTGATAGAATTGCATGAAGAAAGTAATTGACATGATTAAAAAAAGACTAATTTATTAAAGATAATTACCAATTTAGCATACCAGGGGTAGGATAGTCCCTTGAAATTACAATTGATCTTCGGGGTTCATTTCAGAAAGCAATTGTCTCCTTTAACAGTTACCTGATTTCAACACACAATTGGGCATTCGTTAATTTTAATACATGCTTGCAGACATAGGATAATGAAATGTACTTTTATTTATTTCTATTACAAAAACAGTAACGTAATTTCCATGCCAACTCCTCATGTTAAAATTGATGAATATTATGGAATTTGGGTTTTTGAATGCAAGGGTAAAATGGTGATTTTGTCTGACTATAATAGTTTATTCAGTCTAGAAAACAACAAAAAACCTTTGGTAACTTTTTAATTTTTTATGTCGGTTTAATTTCTTTACCAACTATAAGGTCAGTTTAATCATGCCGGACTAAATGGGGAAAAAAAGAATTATTGTTGAGTGTAAAAAAGAAGACCTGTTACCTGTTGCAGAGTATATTGAGAAAAAAAACCAAAAAATATTAGCATGCTCCCATAGGTTTGATGATTCCTGCAGACTCCTGAAGTGAGTGGATGGTTAATATTTTAACATTAAAAATGTGGTAGAAAAATCAAATGAAGCACTTACCTAAAGATATTTTGGAGTAGAAGTATACTTACCTAATTGTTGAGATACAAAAAGCCTCGTCATCCCATCCATTTTAATTTGTCATTGTTCAAGTGACTGAAGTTTTCCTGACACAATTTAAAAAAAAAAAGAAGAAAAAAAAAGAACTCGTTCACAACCTTCATGTTTTTCCTCGAAAAACCATTCCTGCAACAAAACCAATTTCATATGTAAGTAATTTAATTTATAGAATGATTTTGATTAAATCGGATACACCAAAAAAAAAAAAAATCTTGCCTGTTTAATTTTAGACAACTCTGTGAACAAATCATCAGGATTCAATCAAGTGGTGTGTACCCCTGAATATAGAATGAAAATGGAAGTGGTCTTGAAAGTTGAAGATCAAAATGAACATGGGAACATCCGGATAATAGAAAACCCTCTAACACGGAAGCATATTTATTAGTGGTTTTACCAAAACAATAGAAGATGATACCCTTTATGCTTTGTTAACTACATCAGTCACGTAATTACAGAGAATTAGAAGTTTTTACCTTTTCTTTGAAGGACCTAATTATAGCAGTGTCATTCAAATGCTGAACAACCGAATGCTATAACAATGTAGATTTTTCAAAGTACAACGCCTTAATAAGGGAAAGAGCAATGATTTAATAGAAAGGAAAGAAATTATAATGCCATAATGAACCAATAAAAGAAAGTATGTTGCTATCTCTTGCAGTATAACCCTATGGATGCCATTTCGATGCAGATACTTGTTATCGGGAAAAAAAGAAATTAAAAAAAAATAGAAAAAATTTTAAAAACAAACTATAACCTTATACTTGGGACATTATTGTAAAGTATGATGATAATAAATTTTTATACAAAAGAGGGATAAGATAGAAAGGCTTACATATGTTTAACATCTTCAAGGCCTACAGGGCCAGACCGACTCAAACCAGGGGTAATTCTGACTTTTGTCAAATCTATTTCTAATTTGTTTGATGTAGATAAGTATCCATCGTCACCTTCAGCATCATCTTCACCCACATGTCGATGTCCAAATAAAGAAAACCTGTAGTGAGTTTAGCTAAAACCAAATCCAAAGTCCAAACCACATAAATTACTTTTTTTGTTTGCCAAAGCCATAACAACATAAGGAGTAGAAGAAGGGTCACCTGATCCATTGCTGAAAAGAACCCCATATGGTTTCATTTTAAGTGTCTTGGATTTACAGTAAACGATGCCACATACTGCTATTGATGCTAAAGTCTGCAATGTTGGTAAAGTTCCCTTTGTATCATATCTATCTCCTGCATACTACCTAACAATCTACATAAAATGAAGATTTATTATCAACAAAATCTCAAAAGTAATGTGATTGAATCAGAAAATGTAACATAACATGAAGGATGAATAATAAGAATCAAGGAGATTGAGAAAGGAAAATTGAAGAAAGTATTGACATATCATCTGATTTGAGATATTAACGATAAAATAGTTACAGCTATATCATCCGCCTTTTTCTTTGGCTTATAATCAATAACCATATGCAAACATTCATAATTAGGAGACCTCCAAAAGGTTTTAAGTACCTACCAATGCAGGATTTTCACAGGTTAGAATTTGGTTGCAAACGAAAAGGTTTAAATACCATCTGTCGTATTAAATCAAAATAGGAAAACATGAGAGAAAAGAAAGGAAAAAGACTGAAACCATTCAAGTTACATATGTTTAGAATTCGAAATCAAATTAGGAATATTTTGGGAAGAACAGGTCTCTTAAACTATCCAAATGCAGAACAAAAAACAATCAATACACTTCCCAAAAGCTGGCACAATCAGAACTTCATAATTGTCAATAAAACATAAACCCTAAACTTATAGAATGACAAAATGAAAGAAATTAACCTTGAAGGTAGGCAAATTCCCAGCAACTACTCATCTCTATATTTGACTTTTCTACAACCTAATATGCATCAAAACACATAAATTTCAACTCCGATGGAAAAACTAAAACAAATTCTAACAAATTCAATTACAAAAGCTCCATCGTCATATGAAGTTAAGTAGAAATCAACTAAAAAAACATCTAACAGATAAAAGATGATATGATCAGACACCTTCAGCGAAGAGCATATGAACAAAGTTGACGATAAAGATTGAAACCAGGTTAAATCCCCAGCAACCACTCATCACAATATTCCTCTTTTCTACAACCTAATATGTAAAAAAACACACAAATTTCAACTCAAATAGAAAAACATAAAAAATCTCCATCAAATTCAACTAAAAAATCTACATCTTCATATGAAGTTGAGTAGAAATCAACCGAAAAAAAAATCCGAACAGAGTGAAGAGCATATGATCAGACACATAGTGTATAGTTTAGATTTGAGGTCGGGTAATTACAATCCCCAATCAATTCTTCGTTCACCTCAAAAAGAGTTGTTATCCGTCGTTTGGGAAGGAGACAATCTTTGTCGCCCAAAAGTTGTTGGGCTAAGGAGGCGGTGGTCGATTGATCCAAACGATGATGGTGGGTGATAATCGATAGTTCAGGACGGTAAGCGGTGATGATGATGGAGGTAGATAACGGAAACAGATCGGGTTAAGGAGAACCTAGCGAAGAAGGCGAGCGGTGGAGAAGATGGAGTAGACATCGACTGCAGCACATAGAAACCCTAGGAAGATTACTTTGCAGCGATGAGCATTGGTGGAGCGGTGGTGGGGAGTTAGACCTGTGGTGGGTGCACAGAAAAGCGGAGGAGAAGCAGAAGCGATCAAGAAAAGAAGGAGAAGCAAAAGCGACACCTCGATTGCAGCACATAGAAACCCTACGAAGATCACTTTGCAGTGATGAGCATTAGTGGAGCGGTGGTGGGGAGTTAAACCAGTGGTGTCGATGAATGAGAACCGAAACATAGGATAGGATATTTCAGACTTTAGAGAGACGGTGCAGAAGGATCTGGAAGCGGTGACAATGGTAGATTGCTAACACGTGTTATAAAGAATATACATAATGTCAAAAAATAACCCTTTAAAAAACCAAAAAGAAATTGCAGTTGCACCCATTTTAGAAAAAAAAAATTACAACCCTACCATAATCAAAGGACCTATTCTGCCAACTCCTAAAATATTGTTACTGTTACAAGGACGAAATTGCAATTTCAATAAAGAAGTGGACCAATTCAGATCTACAACAAATTGGGGGCCATAAGGATGTACAATGAATCGAAGTAGAGGCGTCAATTTTAAAAATGGCCTAAAAGGACCCCTGAAAAAGAAGGCAAAATATTAATAAGTAGAGGGAGAGAAACTTAATATAACTTCAGGGACCCAATTTGACAAAGGAAGGGGACGATTATTGTTCCTTTTCTTCATAATCTTAATATATATATAATATTTTTTTTTAAATCAACCCGTGCAATACATAGATCTCACACCGAGTTATTTTATTATTTTATTATTATTAATAAAAGTATAAATCATGTAACGAGATGCAATGGAGCAGTCGAAAGCTTCGTGAGCTTAAAACCCTTTGAATTAGGTCTCTTTTTTCGTTCGTACTCACCCATATCTCTCTCCCTTTCTGTGTTATCTCTATCCTTTCTCTTATCATTCTTCCACAAACAAACCAACCTGCACTTCGATTTTTTTGGAGAATCCGCCATAAATATAACACCCTTTGGAGGTTGGTTCGATTAATCTACGTCAACAAAAGATGGCATCGTCATCACCTAATGTTTGGGTTTTGCTGGGTTTGAGTTTGGCCGGAATACTGTTAATGGCGAAGAAGCTTAAGAAAGTCGTCAAAGTTGACTTTGGTGCATTCGTGGAGAGGTTTCAGATACTACCTCCGCCGCAGCCGGCTCCTCCGAAAGCGCCTCACCCGCTCACTGGCCTCTCCTTTGCCGTCTCCGACCTGTATGCCCCTTTTCCTTTTATCTACTTCCTTGTTCCATGGAAGGTCTACTTTTGATTTCTAAGTTATAACTATATTGAATTGAACGAAACAACTTTACTCTTTCAATAGTTTAACCTTATTATTGATATTTTGCTGAGGAGCGTATCTGATTTCTTGTTCATCCAATCACAATCCTGTACAGATTCGATATAAATGGGTTTGTAACCGGGTTCGGCAGTCCAGATTGGGAAAGCACACATGAAGCTGCTTCACAGACGTCTCCTGTTGTTTCAGCTCTTGTAGATGGAGGAGCCACATGCGTTGGAAAAACTGTGGTGGATGAACTGTCATTTGGGTTAGTAATTTATTGACGTTTGATTTCCATTGTTTAGACCTCTACTAGTCGTTAAATAAAATATCATCTCTTGTGCAGTATCAGTGGAGAAAATAGACATTGTGGTACAGCCACCAATCCTGTTGCTCCTTCAAGGATACCAGGAGGATCATGTAGTGGTGCTGCTGTAGCTGTTGCTGCAAAGCTTGTTGATTTCTCTTTGGGTATGCCATTCCCATTTGTTCCTTATGCCAACTTTGTACTTAAGATGCTAACAATCTCTTAACAGGTGTTGATACTGTTGGTGGGGTGAGGCAACCTGCTGGACATTGTGGCATCCTTGGATTTCGGCCATCATATGGTTCTGTTCTTCATTCAGGGATCGTTCCTGTTTCCACAGGCTTTGACACTGTTGGTATGCAATTATGCAAATGAATACTGATCAATGTTAAATTTACTTCCAATTCCATACACATTCTACATTTATGATTGTTTAAATAATTGATTATCAGGATGGTTTGCCATGGATCCCAGTATATTACGCCGTGTAGGACAAGTCCTGCTACAAGTGCCATTAACAGTTCAACATAATCCCAGGAATGTTATCATTGCTGATGACTGTTTTAAATTATCAAAAATTCCCATTGACCGGTTGACCCAGGTAGTAATTAAATCAACAGAGACTCTATTTGGAAGTAAGCATACTTTTGTTCTTATTTTATCATCTTCAATTTCAATTTCCATTATCATTTATGGATGGAAATGACCCGTTTTCTTATTATCTGCAGAACAAGTTTTGAAGCATGAGAATCTTGATAATTACATTGCTTCTAAAGTTCCAAGCTTGAAAGCACTTGATTCCAAGAAGTCAAATGGTGATGTTAAGTTCTCTTCTCTAAGGTCGCTTGCCAACATTATGCAGTTACTAAGAAGGTAACACTTTAAAAAATCACTACTTATCAATTTAACTTCTGGGTTCATTTTTAATACTGCTTACCTCATCTGGGTTTTGTTAGTTACATAATTATTACATTTATTCTCATAGATGAAAGAGTTCCCTTTGCAACTTGTTTAATAAGTTTTAAATATCTTGAATACAGGCATGAATTCAGCCATACTCACTCTGAATGGATTAGCTCAGTGAAACCAGCTTTAGATCCTCTTATCTCAGCTCAGATACAGGGGAAGCTTGAATTAACAGAGAAAGATATTGAAAATTTCCGCACTGTTAAAAGTGAGCTCAGATCCGCCTTAAATGCCCTTTTGAAGGTATTTATATTCCTTTAATTCATACATTACAGTTTACACACATGATGATATTATACAATTAAAAAAAATTTATTATTATAAACTTGTGTAGGACGATGGAGTTCTTGTGATCCCTACAGTTTGCAGCCCTCCTCCTAAACTCGGTGCCAAGGAACTTTCATCTGAAGAATATCTCATGAATGAGTTTTCACTCACCGGTTTAGCAAGCATGTCAGGCTGCTGCCAGGTCATCACTATATCTCTCTCACACACACACACACACTAACACACACACACACAAAAAGAAAGAAAAGAAAAGAAAAGAAAAGAAAAGAAGGAACTGATTATTATATCGGGTTGGTTGCAGGCCACTGTACCTTTGGGAATGTATGAAAAGTGCCCTGTTTCAGTGTCTTTGATAGCAAGATATGGGGGCGATCGTTTTCTACTGGAAACCATTCAGACCATGCATGCATCTTTAAAGCAGAAGGCTGATGAAGCTGGAAACTCAAAATCATCTGCTGATGTTGTCACCAAGGAAGCCTCTGCTGAAATTGCTAAAGAAAAGGTAAAACATTCAGTGTTGAACCTTAGCTTAGCTTTTTATTAAACAAATGTTGTTAACTGAATTTGATTATAAATATTAGGGCAATGAAGCTTTCAAAGCAAAAAATTGGCAGAGGGCCATTGGGTTTTATACTGATGCCATCAAACTCAACAGCAAAATTGCAACATATTTTAGTAACCGAGCTGCAGCACATTTGGAATTGCGAAGGTATCATAATCATAATCATTTACGTTTAAGTTTAAGTTTAAGTTGTGTTTCTTTTTTAAACAAATTTGCCCTCAATTATTTATTTTTCATGCTTTCAGTTTCATTCAAGCTGAAGCAGATTGTACCAAAGCCATCGATCTAGATAAAAAGGTGACTTTTCTCTTGTTTTGTAGAAGGCGCTAGGAGGGTAGTTTTGGCAGTTGACAAAATACGAGTTTTGTTTGTAAAAATCCTTGTGATTGTGTTACTTACAGAATGTAAAGGCGTATCTAAGGAGAGGCACAGCAAGGGAGATGCTTGGATATTATAAAGAGGCAATTGAAGGTAGATTTTTGTCTAAGTTGTAATTCTTCAAGTTTTTTATTTTTATATCAGGGGTTAAGTTGTAAAAGTGTGTGGGTTGCAGATTTTAGGTATGCACTTGTTCTTGAGCCAACCAATAAAAGAGCAGCAATGTCTGCTGACAGGTTAAAGAAGTTATTTCAGTAAAGAGAGAGTGGATGTTGGGGAAAAAAGGTGTTGAAGATAAAAATTCAGAATCTTGAAGGAAATTCTGAGCTGAGCTGGATGGATTTCATTCATTTGGGGGTCTGTGACTGTAATATATATTTTAGGTCAATTTTGGTCCAGTCTTTAAGATACAAATTCAGAGGAATGAATGAGAGGTATATTATATTATTTTTTTTATCCAAAAATCGGCACATGACATGATTTTGGTAAATGTGTACAACCTATTCCGTAAGTTGGTTGCTATTTTTGGAAAAAGTATGATAAGTTTTCTAAAATTTTGAAATATGCAACATGTTTTTGAATCATCTTGTGTCGGTATAATTGAGTTCTGCTCGGTTGTTGTCTAGTAGTAGAATTGGAAAATTTTTGGATTCTGGCCCTAAATTTTGTTTGTTTTCTTTGGTTAACAGTTTTTGATTTTTTTTTTTGGTTCCATAGAGGAATAAAAATGGCCACAAATAAATGTGTTGTCTCGGTGAAACCAAAATTCATAAAAGGACAAAGTAGATATTTGTTGAATCTTATAGTACAAGAAAATATCTTATCAAGCAAACATGTGAATTGATTTTTTTTTTTTTTTTTTAACGATAAATCTGATCTATTCCTAAACTAAACCTTCAACCTTAAGGTGGAGGGCAACTCGTGAATTGGTATGAAATGGAAACTCAAAATACGACAACATATCTAGTTATGAGGTCTCTCTCTCTCATTTAACAAAAAATTAAAACACCCCCAAAATTTGCTTTTATAAAGAGCATAAAACCAAATTGTTTCCAAACAATTCTGCAAAAAAAGATTCTGGTCGGGTTACAAACCGGTTAGATATTTTTAGATAAAGAACCAGTTTTGAACCGATTTGATTCAGTTTTTTTTTTTTTTTTTTTTTTGCCAAAACTGAATCGTCTTCAATGGGAAACAAATCAAACTAATTTTGAAACCGGGAGGAAATAAAAACCATTTTCTACCCTCAAGTATAGAGATCATATCATATTTCATCCAATGTCCTTCCAACAATTTATATTGCTCTTATTTGTGATTTATTATGTTATGGTTATCTTAAAGCTTATCTATACGGAGATCGCATTCTTTAATGCTAGATGATATGAGTATTGATTGTTGATCATAAATTTTTTCAATTTTACTTTATTGTTGAGTATTTAATTTATATTTATATTTATATTTATAATACTATTAATTTTAAGTTCCCTAATGCACAGTACTTTTATTCTATTGGGCCAAATCAAATATTCATTCACCGATCCACCGCCTCAAATACTTTTCTATTCTTTTTAATTGTTTACTTCCACCGCCTCAGTTACCGCATTCCCCACTGCGCACCTTCTTTGTTTAGCTCCACCGTTCCCACCGCTTATCTTATCTTAGCTTTCTCAAGAAGCCACCGTCTCCCTCTCCACCAACGGCACGCCATTTTGCTTTCTATGTTATCCACCGTTATTGGTGGAAACCAGAGCGCCTTACAACCGTCAACAATCTCGGCTACTTCAGTCGATCCTTTCTGTTTCAAAAAAAAAAGTCTTCGTCTCCCTCTCCACCACCGGTCTGCTTTCTCTGTTAACCACCGTTGTTGGTGGAAACCAGTGCGCCTTACAATCGCCAACAATCTCTCAAAATTCCCGTGAATTGGTACTCGATAACGTGAATTTATGGGTATTAATCAAACCAATAAACAATGGTTTGATTAATACCAGTGCGCCTTACAATCGCCAACAATCTCTCAAAACGTATAACCAGTGCGTATTACATGGTTTGATTAATACCCATAAATTGATTGTACATTGTTTATTGGTTTGGAATTTCCATATAACGTATAACCTTTTGAATTCAGTTTAATTCCAAGGCAAACTTCGTAAATGTACATTGTTGACGTTGCAAAAGGGATTGTAATCATACATATGTTCTAAATATGCAGGTACTTAGCAGATTCAAAATGAAACCATTCACCTGCTTACAATCTAAACCTAGAAAACCTCTCCGGGAAAGGAGTGTTGGGTAATTGTCGATTGCTATTACAGCTAGCAGGTCGTTTTCTTTTTCTGCTGAGTGGCCAACAACCTGGAAATATGTGGATATAATTTTCTTTGATTTAGAGTCATTGCAATAGGTAAATAGATGATTTTATTATCCACATATTGACAGGTTGTTGCTCCATTTGATCTAGAGGGCCCGTTATGGTTGCTTCTTGCGGTTTTAGTATGGACATGTTATGAAAAAAGCTTGGTAAATTATCTTTTTGTATGGCTCTTCTAATAATCATTCCAAGTTATATTGTAACATAATTAAACATATATATATATATATATATATATATATATATATATATATATATATATATTAACATATCTTGTATGTGTTATGATGTGTGTAGTTGGAGTGTGAAGCAGAATACTTAATGGTTGAGTTTGTTTCAAATCCTGATATTGATGAGAAGCCTCATGTACTTCTTCGGGATGCTCCTGAAAAAGAGTCGCAGGTAAGTGACGCTTTTTGTTTTATGTATTTTTTTGTTTGTAATTGACTAATTGGTGAATGGTGGTTGTGGAGTTCTATAAATGAGACATGCTGTGTTGCAAGTATACTTCCTACTTTTTGCATGACAGGGTTGGCATGTGCATTATTACTTCTATTCTTTAAAGCGGTTATGCACTATAAAAAGTGAGTTTATGACATTTCTCAATTCTAAATATGTTAGAATGCTTCATTTGTGATCAACAGACTTCACTAGATGTGCCTGAAACTAGAATAATGACAACATAGTTTCTCTAAAAGTTATATATGGAGCAAAATACCCAGAGATTCCAGGTTCTAGGTGAATACCACTGTTGGAACTTAGGTTCTTTTTGATTGTCATTAACGGTTGTCTATATAAATAATTTTAAACAAAAGAAATTTTGGAAAAACACGTTACCCATACATAGCTTATAGATTAAAGTAATGATTTTTTTATTGAATACATTGACAACTAAATGGATAAATTCATTTAACCTGTACAGGAATCAGTCTATGTTCATATTGCAAGTCAAGATGTCCTACATGAACAAGTATGGTCAAATATACCCTTTTACTTTACTCTCAGATTTTTTGGTTATCAATCTATGTTTTTTTTGTTGACCCAGGAACAATCTGATTGCATTGTTGAATTAATGAAGGAAGTGAGAGGTGAACTTTGTGAGATAGCTCCTCGGATTTGAAGACAGGATTCACTGACACTATTGATGTGACCATTCATTCCCAGGTAAACAGACTATTTGGATTTATGAATATATAGAATTTGTTTCGTGGGTTGAAGTTAAAATGATGAAATGTTTTCCATCTTTGTTTTGTAGTTGCTCAATTTTGGAAGTTTAGACATGGAGTATTTACGAAAAATGATGGAGTTTTCATACGAAAGGCATAACAAATGTTATGTAAGCCAATAATATACATTGGTTTGCTTTTCATTATTAAATCTCTGTTTTTGTATATACTTGAATGTTTTTTTTGAAGGTTTATAATATTAGTTTAATGTTTTAGAAGAATATAATTGAAATTAGTTGAATGTCAGTGATAGATCTTTTTTTTATTTATTAGAATTACTACCAAAATTAGGATTTAATGACATATTTTTAACCTTTTCCCCTGAATGTTTAGTTGCGATTTATAAAAAATTTACATGTATTTAGAAATAATAGCAACCTGCAAGGTTAAATAAACGTTTATGTAAGATGAACAGATTATAATTGTAAACTGTGAAGTAACTAATAGGGTAGAGATGAGAGACTTACCGAACTTAAATGAAATGCAAGCGAGAAAACACATGGTGAACATTAAAGATATGGGGTTGATTATAGTTGTGATCATTTCAGGGGTGACAATCTACTTTTGTTCAACCACGGTTTATCTAACTCATCTTCAAAGGGCAATATCGGCTTGATTATGCCTAGCTGCTGCAAAAAATCATATTTATGGTTCAGCCATACACTTAAGTAGGTTTTTTTCTTTATTCTTTTTGTCCCAATGCTTTTTGATTCAGTAATCTGTAAAAAATTCTTATTTGATGCCCAAGTGACAGTAAAGAAATGAAAGGATGATTGGAATCCTTATTTGATGCCCAAGTGACATTAAATAAATGAAAGGATATGTTGTCTTTCTGTTTTTATAACTTCTTCCGCATCTAACACGATTGCTCAACCATCACCAGTAATATCATTGTGTTCTTATATGAATTAAGATCGACCCCCGCAATGCAGGGGAATCTTTTTTAGTTTATATGAAAAAGTTTTTATTAAATTACATGTCTATTTTAAAAATTGTATTTATTTAAGAATTATCTAAATCAAAACATCGTTTGATGTCTTTGATTTTTTAATTTAATCTTTTATTTATACTGAAATATTGGTCGGATGAGTCATTAGGTGAGAGACTCTTCATCACGACCTATGCAGTCAATCGTGCTACTGTGTGGCGCTATAGCGGTTAGCGGAGGTAAAGAAACACTATTTAAAAATAGCGGTGACGCTATTAGTGACGCGATTTACCGCTATTATGGTCACCGCTATGGCGGCGTTATAACCGCTACTTAAATAAATTCCATTTTTGGACTATTTTACATAAAAAAAAACGTTTTCCGTGTCATTCCATTGAATAAAATTGTTTTTTCTTATCCCAAACCAAAACTTTTGTGACATTTTATTGAATAAAATTGTGATTTTGTGACTGTCATGACTTCCATTGAAACTATGTATGTATTGTCTTGCTAATTGTGATAAAACTATGAAGTACTACAATATGATTACCTATCTACAATATGATTAACTATCAAATTGCTTAATCATTTTATTTGCTAATTGTAATTGTGTTGAAGTATGATAAAATGCTAAGTATTGTTTATGTTTTCTTGTTGATTGTGTTAAAGTATGATTAACTGTGACATTGCTAACCAGCCTGTGAAGTATGATTAACTAATTATGATATGTAAAGTATGATTTACTGATTAACTGGAATGGGTTGAACTTTGAAGTATGATTTATTGATTAATACTCTAATATATATAAATTATACATAATATGAAAAACGTTATACCACCGCTATACCACTGCGAGAACCGCGATTTCAAATAGCGGCTAGTGATCGCTATTATATTTTTGACCGCGATAACTGCTTAGATCACGACACATTCTTGTTTTCCATCATTGCTTTCATCCACAAAACGATTGCTTTCATCCACAAAACGATTGTTTTCTATCATTGCTTTTATCCACAAAACGAGACACTTGTTTTCCACCATATCCATCTAGCATCTCCATTTTCCACCACCATTTCTGTCTTCTCTCATTCTCTCTTACGTTTCGTTTATTGACGAATATTGTAAACGTCAGTTCGACTGTTGCCCTTCTTCTTTTTTATTCTACCAACACCAACTGGGAGAGTTTTGGCGGTAGAAACTGAGGCCATCAAATTACTTCTTTCAAGAAGGTATTTTCATGTTTCTTGATATGTCATGATCCATATTTTATATTCAAACTAAACAATGGAGTTGAAATGGACGAGAATCCACCAAAGACCACTATTGATTCTCTATTCACATACCTCCCAAACACTAGTCATCGAAACTGTAAACAAGTAGTTAAATCTCGTAATATATTTTTCTTCTTCTATTTTTGATTTCTAGTTGCTTAATTTCCCCGGTTTGTGTTTTTTTAGTTATAGAATGACAAAAGGATTTCATGAGTCTTGGTTAGGGTTTCTAATTTCCCAAAGTTTGAATTTTTGTTTTTTGCTATCTGAAGTTCGATTTTTTATTTATGTCACATAGAAATCATGAAATATTTCTCAATGTAAGTTTTTATGTTGCTTAACCTACAAAATTTTGTTCATTAATAAGTTACGACTTTTTATATTATTGTAAATGAGTTATGAAAATCATGAAAGATTTAATATAATGGTCATCTGTTTTCTTTAAGTCATTCTAATATTCTTGTCGCCACAACAAAGATATTATCAATGAGATTATCAATAACCGGTAATAGTTACATATAAATGATGGTCACTTTGTTGTCTTTAATTTATATTACCTTCATATTCTAATATACTTATTTATCTAAAATGATTCACACGAGTAACCAATTCTTTATATATATATATATATATATATATATATATATATATATATATATATATATATATATATAGAGAGAGAGAGAGAGAGAGAGAGAGAGAGAGAGCTAGGTTCAAATGCTTCTAGCAACTATTGTGTGCATGAATGCACCAATAGGAAATTAGGAAAAAATAAATCATTAAATAAATCATTTAAGGGTATTATAGTAATCTTTGCATAGTTAATTATGGTAGATCAACAACAATTTCTTATATCAAGCAAGAAGCAAAGATAAATATAGAACATTAGCCCTAAATCGATTTCACCGCTTCCCATCACCACTGTAGATCGATTAAAAACAACATCGAATAGGACACCTTCAAAGGACGGCAATACCATTTTTTTTTCTTCTTCTCTCTTCCACAACTGCCTCTTCTAGATCGAATCTCCCCCCTGCAATCTAGGGTTCCGCAAATCTCCTTAAGCTCTTCCGATTACATTTGCTGAACCTCTCTTCTTCACGATCTGCCCACGTCTCTTCAAGTCCCGACACTATTATTTACATTTCAAAGTACATAAACCCTTTTTCCCTTTTCAATATTTGCAAAGATTTGATTCAATCTTACCCCTGTTTTAGCAATAGTTTGGTGTCCGATTTGATTTTTTCTTCTATTGTTTTTAGGTTTTGTACCGATCATGACGATTGCTGATTCGGGTGCCCTAATGGATAACGAATCACTATGCTTGCCGTGCACTCGAGAGGAAGAGCGAAGGATTGTTAAGGAGTTAACAGATGAGGCCGAGTTATGTTTGAAAGAGGGCAACTTATATTATGTCGTCTCCAACAGGTAATCTAATGTATATCAAAGTTAACTTATATTATGTCGTCACCATTTCTCTCTGTCTTCTCTACGTTAACTTATCTAATGAATTCGATTAGTATGTTAGTGTGTTTGGCTGTACTTTATCTTATTGCATGTAAGGTGTTTGTGAAAATGTCTAAAAGAGAACTTGATATAATATATACAATTTGTTTGATCGGTGGGTTTGGATGTGCATTATCTCATGATTGATTTTGTATATGATTGATTTTGGGTGAATTTGATTAGTGTGTTAGTGTGTTTAGTGTGCTAGTGTGTTTGGTTGTACTTTATCTTATTACATGCTAGGTGTATTCTAGCAGAATGTATTCTGCTACTTGTATTTCACTTGACAAGATCTGATGTGTACATACATGCTTGTATGTGTTCAATAGGTCTTTGATGGACATAACCAAAGAACAAAACATAAACAATAGAAAGAGAAAACACATGTTATTCTTTTAGAATGCCTTCAAGAACGAATCAAATATTGATCATACCAGAGAAAGACTTGGAATGAAGTTAAAAAAAACAAGTATTGTGGCGATTAAAGCTATAACTAGCAGAATGTATGTTATGTATTCTGTTAGAATGTATTTTATGTATTCTGCCACAATGTATTATATGGATTCTATCATACTATACGTATTCTGCCATAATATATAAAGTGAGAGGAATTGCAAGTAACATGCTTTTAACCATTCTTCGTTTTTTTTGTATTTGTGATAGGAATGGCAGGAATAACGAGTTGAAGACATGATAGGAATAACTTGAAGAATGAATAAAAGATTGATCACACTTACAATTTAAGTATGTTGTTATTTTTTAAGATTTTTTTTTCATTTTTGTTGATATTCTTTTAGAATATGTATAATTATATTAAAATGTATAAGACTATTAGTCTGTTAGAATATGTAAGAATTTGAATTTAACCGGGGATTCAAGAATTATGTTATTCTTCAATAATATTCTAATAGAATAAAATTCTGAAAGAACATCATTCTAACAAAAAACATTCTGACGGAATAAAACCGGTTATGTTTACAAATTACATTAGAATTAAAATTGAATTAATATAAAAAATCCAGATTTTTAAAATTTGGAGAATTAATTATCCCTAAAAATCTGAAAATTTCCTTTTTTAAATATAGTTAATTGTCCAAAATACCCTTATGCTGAAATTTGTGTGATTATATGGTAAATGTTATCCCATTGTAATATCATAGACTCTGAGATCATGACCATTGATTATATTCATCCGATGGTCCAGATCTATGCATTCTGGCACGCAATAGATGTAAGAAACAAAATAACATAGCCATATATATATATATATATATATATATATATATATATATATATATATATATATATATAGGGACGGGTTATTTAGAAAACAAAAAAACCCTAAAAATCATAAAAATGCATAAAAAAATACTTAGAGATCACAAAACTTTTTTTAAAATTTTTTATAGAAAAATCGTAGCTTTTAGTATAAAATCGCTGAAAAAAAATAAAAATAATTTTTTTTTTATAAAAAAAATTGGTTTTTTTTCAAAAAAAATTTCAGTGATTTTATACTAAAAGCTGCGCTTTTTTCATATATATATATATATATATATATATATATATATATATATATATATATATATATATATATATAGCCCGACTCTGGTGAGGATTCAAAAAATGATGAGGACTGCGATGACAATTCTCCACAATCCATTTCGTCAAAGGACACACACGTCAAACCCAATACTTGGGGGTGGTGCGTTCGCATGCGACCCACATCCGTAGTAATTAATATGGACTCGATGATTTAATCACGTACGACGAACGTCCATAGAACGTGATTTAAGTGAGTTTTATTATTTATTTTCATTTATTTTAATTTATTTTGTTTTATTATTATTATTAATTTAATTTAATTTTTTTCTAAAGAGATATATACTTGATTTTCACGTTTTTTTTCGTTTTTTTTCGTTTTTGTTTTATTTTTTTAAAAATTATTATTTTTTCGTTTTTTAATGTCTTTACTACAACAATGATGAAGTGGATAGTCCCGAAAATTTCCACAAATATCAGAAATTTCCTTGGCCTAGTCAGGTACTATTAGAGAATTCACCTAGGTTCTTCCTAAGATAAAAATATTTCTAAAGTAGTTTTAAAAGAGGAGTGTATTTTCTTGCAAAGGAAAGTTTAAAACTTTGGTGAAGGTTGTGACGAGGAATCCCTTTGCATGTTCTTGTCTGATTATTATTAGGGATTTGGAGCATGGTCCAAAAACCTGATTTAGTTTTATAAGTTTTTAGAAAGAAATGTCAAGCAAGACGATGAACAACCGACAACTTCAACAGTACTGGGAAAGAAATTAAAAGACGTTTCAATGTTACCATTGCTTGAAAGGATCGAAGACATGACCAATTACTATGATCGACTCATCATGGACTAGGTTGTTTGTTGAAGCAACAAGAGGAGACCATATGAGGTTTTTATGCCTAAAGGCAGATGAGACCATATAAGGTTATTTTTTTGATCCATAACATAGAATTGAGAGTCATTTATTGACAACCGAGAATTATTGACTCGATACAACCATATTTAAATTCCATTTGCCATTGGGACTAGATATACATAGATGTGGAAGAAAGTTAGTGTTGTCTGAGAATGAAGAGAAATGTGGATATCTGTGTAGAGAAATGTCTAAGCATGTTAAAGGTTTAGCGTCGTAAACTTTGTGGTAGACAACATTTGATATGAACATGTATTTTGAAGTAAGGACTTATAGCCATAGATGTAATCATAAGGATTGCTTAGAAACCTTAAGTGATAAGATGCACTACAAGTAAAGTACGTAAATCGATCAATAATGCTCTCTTCATGACAACGTGAGGGGGGTTTTTTGAAGAAGGCTAGCAGACAGTTATGTCATGGAAGGTGGTATTCAGGCACAAGGTGCCAATTTACAGTTATTCCAGTAAAAAAATGCTCGGTTAATGTGCTGATTTTGGAAGAATTTCGATGACGATCGGAGTGCTAAATGTTGGTTAAAGTAGTATACTTCTTTTAGATAGATTGAAGTGTAGTAGAATGTTTCAGACGACATGCTGCGATCATGTGTCTTGGACCTTGATGTAGTTGATCAATTAAATCTTTAAGTAGAGCTAAGGTATGATAACATGTCGATATCAGCATGCAATTTTACAAGGTGTAGTATAAGAGAAAACAAAGGATCTCTATATATCGGGAAGAGTAAGTATTTCGGTGTTTGACAGAGGAAAGTATGAATTAATCTAAGTAATCAGGATTTAGAAAAAGTTAAGGTTAAAGATCAAGATAACCAAAGTGACACTCTTAAGAGCGTGAAACATTTAAGCGTATGAGAAAACTCAAATCAGTAATAGATCGTGAGCTTAATCTTATTTATTGAGCAGGAGGCAGATGACTACAGTTACCAAAAATAATGGTAGGATTTATCACGATTCACGAATAAAAGTTGAGATTCAAGAAAAGAAGTTTGAGTAAACGTCTTAGTATAAGGTGTCATAGAGAGATATGCCTTGAGGTTCTAGTTTGTGTCTAAGATATTTTAAAGGACCGGTAATTTCGAGGGCAAAGTTCTATTAAGTGGGGGAGAGTTGTAACGCCCTATTTCTCGTTAGTATTCCAACAAACAAGTTTATTAAGTAATAATAATAATCATATAATTAGGGATAAATATTCTAAAGAATTACATCGGTGAATAAAACAAATAAAAGACATTTGATAATTTTGTAAGTGGTTAAATTATAAATAAAGGAAATAAATAATAATAATAATAATAATAATAATAATAATAATAATAATAATAATAATAATAAATTAAGAAATGTATAATTAAGGGATTTGTAAGCATTTCTAGAAAAAGGGTTGAATGTGTCAAGTTTGAAACTAACATTTGTCAAGGTAATTGTTTGTGGGGTAGATAATGTAGTTATGGGAAGGTAAAGGGGTTGGAAATGCAGTTTTTGTTTTTTTTTCTTGGAGACCGACGAAATTTCTTCTTGGACTTCTCCTTAGGGCCGACTCCAAGTTATTAGTTCGTATACCCTCTTTAACAAACCATAATCCCCCCAAAGTCCATAATGTATGTGTGCATGTGTGCGTGATTTCCTTTGGCGATCAAGAAAAGAGACAACAACAAAGAAGGGTTGTTGCGATCGGAAGAGAAGATGAAGAAGAGGAGAGAGGCTGAAAATTAATAGGAAGAAGGAAAGTGTTTGGTGGTGTCGATTTTGGGTTAGGTAATCCTCAAAATAGATTAAGTTATGTTTTTTTTTCTTTAGGTTCGAAATTGTTATCACCGCCACAAACCGCAATGGCTACAAGTCATGGCCACCCAAGCCGACCACCACTGGCCACCGTTCTAGGGTGGCAGTGGGTGGTGCCTCATGGTGTTGCTTTTGGTTTTTGGTTTCATTTATTTGAAGATTAGGTCAAAATTTGAGATATGTCCCTTTATAGAAACATACTTTGTATTTTGGGTGGTTTGACCACCTACAACACCAGTGTTCCAGGTAATTTTCCTTTCTAGCTTCATTTCTTAAAAGTTGATAAATTTGGTCCTTACACTGGGCGTACGAGTCAGGTACGCCGGGCGTAGGACCTTGCATGTGATCGCAGAGTCTGTCGCGTACGTTGGGCGTACTTGTATATACGTTGGGCGTACGCAAGTAGGGGACAAAACCTATTTTTTTAGGATTTGGACCCTATTTAAAGACCTTATGGCCTCTAACCCTTCTTACCTCTCAACCTCCATCTTCCCTAGCCTCCATGACCTTGAATTTGTGGTGTTTCACTCAAGCCTTTGGATCCAACAATCACTCTCCCTTGCGCATCTTCTGGAGGTATAAAGCTCCAACCTTGAGGCATATTCCTTTAGATCTTGTTCGATGATATGGGCATATTTAGTTATAAAATTCATTAATTATATTAATACTTTATGTTGTTTTTGTCTCATTTAATGAACAAAAGGCGCTTAATTACTTTGAAATTTCATTTTCAGCAACAAAGACATGCTCGGATGAAAAAAGAAGCGGATTTAGCGATTAAAAGCTTGGAATTTGGATTTTGAAGAAAGAAGATAAAATTGAAGAAGAACTCGGCGAGTTTATGCTCCAACTCGACGAGTTGCTATGAAGACTCCCGACAAAATAGTGCCTTGTCGTACACGCGGTTTAAGTAAAAAACTCGACGAGTTGGGACCATCCAACTCGACGTGTTGAAGCTGTTTTTAGAATCTATTTATAGATCGTTTTCATTCGAAACCCTAACGATTGCTAGAGGCTATTAGCAACTTTTGGAGGCCAGAGACATTCTCAAGAAACTTTGGAATTCAGAATTCGACTAGAGGTTAATTTAGAAGAGATCAAAGGCATTAAACCATTACTTTTCTCTTAATTCTTTGTGTGAATCATGTTTACAACATTGAATTTCGTTTTTATGTGTTTATTTGCTGAAGTTATGGGCTAAAACTCCATACTTCTGTTTAGACCAGATGAGTTTATGAATATGGTTTGATTAGTGGCTTTGGATTATATTGATTTGGTTATTTATCTTGTTAAGCTTGTTAAAAGATCATTATATATTAATGATAATTATTTTCTGTTAATGACTAAGTATATTGAGTTGTATGAATATCTGTTTGATTACTTGAATCTTATGGTTTTGTGAAAACAAGATTGTATGCCTAGTGTTGTGAACATAACCTAGGGTTAACTAGAGAATAAATAAGTTAATATGGTTTGATTAGTGGCTTTGGATTATATTGATTTGGTTATTTATCTTGTTAAGCTTGTTAAAAGATCCTTATATGTTAATGATAATTATTTTCTGTTAATGACTAAGTATATTCAGTTGTATGAATATCTGTTTGATTACTTGAATCTTATGGTTTTGTGAAAACAAGATTGTATGCCTAGTGTTGTGAACATAACCTAGGGTTAACTAGAGAATAAATAAGTTAATGTGTGAG